TGTATCTATAAATAACTATCAAACCACAAGGAATATGTTAATAAAAATGAGATGAGAATGTAGCTAAGGAAGTTGCCTTTCAGATGCGTATAGTTAGTTGTATGGGAATTGATTAAAAAGTAATGAAATTATTGATAAATCGTAAACGTATATAAGCAGTAAACGGTACAGTTCCCGACATCCCGTACTAAAATTGTTAATAAATAATTATGGAAGGGGTCTATTGCATAAAAAACTATATGTGAAAAAAGCTAAAGATCAACGCTACATTCTTCAATACTAAAAGTTCAGAAATTCATCTTAATTAATGAGTTATTAATGATTTTTCCCTGATCGACTTGATTTAGCGTCTGAAAGGCGGCCATTACAGCCCGCGGACCAATAGGAAACGTTTTATCTCTATCCTTGTCGCACACTAGTGCTTTCCTTGTCTAATACCTCTGTTTATATTCTGTGTTCCTATTAAGAAATCGTAGTTCAGATCCGCAAACGCGAGATGGCGTTAGTCTCGCTTCCCACTTTTTTCTGTCCTTGTCTAACCCTATTCCTTTCCTTATCTAACTCATTTCTCTAGTGCTATCCTCGTCATCCCTATTATATTTAATTGATACTTATAATCAATTCTTGATTGCTTTAACATTTCTAATATTATAGATGTTAAAATAAAGTTTCTGCTTTATTTTCAAGTCGTTTAACTATAGTCTAGTTAGTGTTTCTTGTTAAATAAGAATTTAGATGGTATTTTATAATATTGGAGGTGTTAATTCAATTTGCTGCATGCTTTAACTCTTAATAAAGCAATTTAATTTATTAATTTCGCATTGAATTAACTATTGCATATGGTAGATTAGTTATAAATTGTTTATAACTTTTATTGCCAATTGAAATATTAATGTTCTTTTTGTGTGAATTACAGATGGAACTTTTAGGCCACCACAGGAGTCAAGGAAAGGATCTTAAACTAAAGACAAAATTCATTGGAATTTTCCCTACTTTACGATCCAGTAAGGAACGCCTTAGCAACAATTATTCCACATAATTGTTATCGGATCTGAAAAACATTGTCACAGGCTCCATACTTAAAATAGAATGGTATTTCAACGGGAGGAACATTGGAAATTATGCAATTTATCATTGGAACAGTTTACTTTTGGGAGTTTTAAAACAGACCAGAGGGATTACGCTGCTCAGTCTGTCGTCAGCCTTCAAAGCGGAAGGATCGACCCCACCATCAGGAACGAAGTATAACAGGTTAGTTGATTTTTAAAGTAGAAATTCGATGAATTTTTCGCTTTCAATATTAGTTATTGTAAATTAGAGCATAATTGCATGTAGTAAGCAGTTTAAAGTTTGTATTTATAATAAATATTTTATTGTTTTGACGTTACTAGTAATGTAGGTAGTGAAATAAAGTTTCTGCTTCATTTTTAAGTACTTTAATTATAGAATAAGTAGTGTTTCTTGTTAAATAACAATTCAGATGATTGTTTATGATTATTGTAAGTCTTAAATAATATTATCGTACGCTTTAACTTGATACAGCAGCTCAATATATTAATCTTCCTTTGAATTAACCGTCGTATTCAATGAATTAGTCGGAAATTGTTTATAACTTTTATTAAAAATTAACAAAATTAATGTTCTTTGCGTATGAATTACAGATGGAGCTTCCAGGACACCCTAGAAATCAAGGAAAGGACTTGAACATCGGGAAAACTGAAGAAATGCAATTATTTGTTAATAAATCGATTGTTTATTGTAAAATTATTGTTCACAATGTATATTACAAAAGGTTACAATATGCCAGTATTGTTTTACAGCATTTTACAGTCTATTTATTGCTCCGTTACACTCCAAATCCATTTGTTTTTGCAAAAAACACATTGATTAAACAATTTTCCGTTGCAAAAGTGGATAAATTAATGACAGAAACCACCAGGAATGCGTTTTCATCGAGAAAATCAAAAAAATCCCGAAATTCGAGCGAAAACTACGAAAATTAAGGTAAGATTTCGAAATTCGCGCGAATATACTCGTTCGGTGCTAGAGTCCTCGAGCATTCCTGGAATTTTCGTCATTTCTCGGAAATGACCAAATTTCCGAGAATCGAGTCACTTCCAGGAAGCGACCTCCTATCACATCATGTTCGCCTATTAGAAAGTCGATTTTCGGCCAAAAATTTTCGAAAATCGGAAATCGTGACTTTGTATTAGGCGAATATGATATGACAGGAGGTCGCTTCCTGGAATCGCCTCGATTCTTGGAAATTTCGTCGTTTCTCGGAAATGACAAAATTTCCGAGAATCGAGGCGATTCCAAGAATTGATCAGTGGGCCTTCGAAAATTTCAGTCCTCGAGAATTCCTGGAATTTTCGTCATTTCTCGGAAATGACCAATTTTCCGAGAATCGAGTCACTTCCAGGAAGCGACCTCCTATCACATCATGTTCGCCTATTAGAAAGTCGATTTTCGGCCAAAAATTTTCGAAAATCGGAAATCGTGACTTTGTATTAGGCGAATATGATATGACAGGAGGTCGCTTCCTGGAATCGCCTCGATTCTTGGAAATTTCGTCGTTTCTCGGAAATGACAAAATTTCCGAGAATCGAGTCACTTCCAGGAATCGACCTCCTATCGTATCATGTTCGCCTAATACAAAGTCGATTTTCGGCCAAAAATTTTCGAAAATCGGAAATCGTGACTTTGTATTAGGCGAATATGATATGACAAGAGGTCGCTTCTTGGAATCGCGTCGATTCTTGGAAATTTCGTCGTTTCTCGGAAATGACGTAAATTCCAGGAATTCTCGAGAACTGAAATTTTCGAAGACCCTCCGGCTGAAAATCGACTTTCTAATAGGCGAACATTCCTCGCCTATTAGGTCGCCTCGCCCAGTCGATTCCTGGAAGTGACTCGATTCTCGGAAATCTGGTCATTTCCGAGAAATGACGAAAATTCCAGGAATTCTCGAGGACATTAGCGCCTTTCGAAAAATGCACAATTTTGCAAACAGAGAGATCGCGCTTGCAACTTTGTTGCCGGGAGCTGCTCCCGAAAATTACACATTGTTGCAAAACGGCGCGTCGTGCAACAATGTGCAATTTTCGGGAGCGACGTTCGGCAACAAAGTTGCAAACCCAGAACTCGTTTGCAACATTGTGCAATTTTCGGGAGCGACTTTCAGCAACAAAGTTGCAAAAACGGCAAGTTTGCAACATTGTGCGATTTTCGGGAGCGATTTTCGGCAACAAAGTTGCAAAGCCGATTACGCGTTTGCAACATTGTGCAATTTTCGCGAGCGATTTTCGGCAACAAAGTTGCAAAAACGGCAAGTTTGCAACATTGTGCGATTTTTGGGAGCGATTTTCGGCAACAAAGTTGCAAAGCCGATTACGCGTTTGCAACATTGTGCAATTTTCGGGAGCGACTTACAGCAACAAAGTTGCAAAAACGGCAAGTTTGCAACATTGTGCGATTTTCGGGAGCGATTTTCGGCAACAAAGTTGCAAAAACGGCAAGTTTGCAACATTGTGCGATTTTCGGGCGCGATTTTCGGCAACAAAGTTGCAAAGCCGATTACGCGTTTGCAACATTGTGCAATTTTCGGGAGCGAATAATAATAGCGAAAATAATACGAGTTAACGATGTTACAAGCGAGAATGACCCTTGTAACAATGTTACATTCAAGCGTAGTGCTTGGAATAATGTTTGCGTTCCAAGTAAGGCTTCTAATAATGTTACAATCAGAAATAGAGATTTACATTTATTATTACATATAATATAATTAATTATTGTTAGACATTATTATATTAAAAGCAACAAAGTTGCAAAGCCGATTACGCGTTTGCAACATTGTGCAATTTTCGGGAGCGCATAATAATAGCGAAAATAATACGAGTTAACGATGTTACAAGCGAGAATGACCCTTGTAACAATGTTACATTCAAGCGTAGTGCTTGGAATAATGTTTGCGTTCCAAGTAAGGCTTCTAATAATGTTACAATCAGAAATAGAGATTTACATTTATTATTACATATAATATAATTAATTATTGTTAGACATTATTATATTAAATTACCATATTCTATCGAAAAAAAAGTCGATATGAAGAAGTTTTTTATTTTGGCCAGCTAAATCCTCCATTTGGACCCCTGTGCGCCGTCTCTCACTATTCCGTCCTCGTTCTCTCACACAAGTATAGCGCTAGCTTTGTTGTGTGCGAAGCCTCTTCGGCTCTTTCCGCCAATAATCTACGTCACCACGTGATGCTCGAGCAACCTGAGCGCATGAGTAACAATCAGGAGATTCCCTTTGAATCTCGGTGAGACGCAGAGAATATTACGGAAGGAATCATGATAAAAGTTGTTATTTGTAAAATATATTCATAACATTGTAACTAAAATATAACAATACAACTAAACTAAAATATAATTACTTACTGATATAACAAACTAATATCATTGCACATTACTATTATGAATTATTTTCATAAAATGAGAAATGTAAACAGAATTTTAAATAAGAAAAACGTGTTTAAAACACTTTTTGTACATATATTTTGTACCACTACAAGGATAAATAATGCATTTGACCGTTTTACACGTGTATAGTATACAAAGTAATTTAAATTTAATATACTAAAATCAATCTAAACTCCTAGTTCTTTTTTCAATTTTTTATAAGGTGGTAAGTGTCTTAATTTAAAGAAATTCGATAAAGTAATAACATACGTTAAAATATTGTATTATCCCGCAATAACCGTTATATGACTTTATATATTATAAGAAAATTCCTTCTCATTACTTTTCCAACCATCTCTTTTTGTAATATTAATTTTTTTTCTATTTGAAGAAATCGCTCATGAAACATATGTTTTACAGAGGCAATAAAACAACACACAAATTTCATGTGAGATGACTATCGTTCACTTATATTACCTAACCAATGGTTGTACGTCAGGTCTGAGGAAATTTGTATAGGCGGATGGGTTGATACGTTCACACTTGTCGTCATGGCTCCGTTCGTATGGAGTTTTAGAGGGAATATCAACCGGTTTTTAATTGATGTTCAAATACTACAATACCTTATTGTATTATTCGGGCTATTTAATTTGTCTCTGTGCCTTTACGAAGATCAAGTCGGAAAATTTGACTGGTAAATTATTTTGAATCCTTGAAGAAATGTTGACTGTAATGTTGAACCTCTTAAATAATGCAGTAGCATGTTCACATGATTTGACAGTGTATTGTCGTTAAATCATTCTCAATAAACGATTCGTCATTGTGTTTTCAGGAAACAGAATTATGTTGGCAAAATTAAATTTGCCAGTTTTGATACTGTCTCGGCCGCAAAAAAGATTATTGTTGCTACTGAAGAAAATGTTATTGCTGCACTAAACCTTAAATCAGGTGAGCTGTAAACATTATGTACTGTAAAAATCTGTGGATATAATAATAATATGCGACTTTTTATTTTATCAACGTTATGAATAAAAAATTGTAATTTGTAATTTTAACAATGATTTTAATAATTACCTAAAAAATTAAAATATGTTGAAAACTTGTTCATTTTTGTTACAATTTAACATTTGAGATTGAATGAACAAAAAGCAGTATCGAGGAATTTTAAGTCTGAAAAAACAGCACTTTAAGTTTAATGT